AAGAGGGAAAAAAAAGTATGCTTGTTGGACTGGAAGGGAGAGGAGGGAAAGCAAGGAGTTTTGGTCTAAAAAAGGGAAAGAATATTTCAAAGCATTGAAATAGGTTTGGCATAGCCAAGTGCAAGGTTTTACTGTGGAAAGGATGAAATGCTTCATTGCAATATTTTATAGACCTTTTCGTTGGATGCAAGAAAATGCAGTAATGGCAACAAATGCTGAGGGAAGCTGGAAGCTCATGAGATGGAGAGGACATAGATGGAGAAGCTGTGCTAATCCTTCACAAAAGTATTAAGAGGCGCTGATGTGATGAAGCCATTGAAAAAAAGTGAGTGCATTTGTGGGAATCCACTGGGCGAGGTGCTTCTTGTAGACAGAGGGAGGTATGAACGGCATTGTACAAGACCCTGGTGGGACCTGATGTGAGCCATTACCTGCAAGTCCGGTCACCCATGTTCCAAGGGAGATCAGTTGAAACCAGAACAGATGCGGAGAAGGGCTATTAGGATGATGCAGGATTGGGCAGCCTGGACCACAAGAGGCGATTAAAGGCGTATGGCAGGGTTAGTCTGGCAAAATGGAGGCTGAGAAAGGGAGATGGCTGCTGAGCCTTGCAGTGGGAGTTGAAGATGGAGCTTGAGAAGTTCATAAAAGGGGTTATGTGATCTGCTGCCTCTAGATTTCATAGACATTAGGGCTGGAAGGGATCTCGTGGGATCATCGGGTCCAGCCCCCTGCCCCAGGGGGAGGAAGTCAACTGGGGTCATCAGAGGCCCTGACCAGTCACTTGTGTGCACAATAGCATCTGGAGCACCCCAGCAAGATAAGCATCCAAGTGTATCTTAAAGGTGTCCAGAGTAGGTGCTTGCACCACTTCTGGGGAGAATCTGTTCCAGACTCTGGGGACTCAGATGGTAAAGGAATTTTTCCTTATATCCAGTCTAAAAAGCTCTTCCCAGAGTTTGTGACCCTTCGACCTCGCCTTCCCTTGGGGTGCCCTGGTGAACAGATGTTCTCCCAGTCCCTGGTGCACACCCCCTATAGCAGGGGATGGAGCCCATGAACCAGGGTGTCCTATGAATAGCAAGGCACGTTGTAGAGCAGCACTGAACTATCTGAAAAATCAGTGTGGGAAGAGCCTGGGAAGCGTCTCCCAGCAGCCGGGTGGGTTTCTGCCTAGTACTATCAGCCTCTCGCATTCACGAGCCAAAGAGCACCTGCCTGGTTCATTCGGTTGCTTTGATGCATCTCACCACGACTGCACAGAAATCTCTGGGAAGTAATGGAGAAGCATCATGGTTGCCTACCTGGTAACACAAAATAAAATACAGCGTGATTCGGCTAGCAGCATCCAAAGGGTCAATCCCTGCCGCGGTGACGCTTCTCTCCAGAAAATTCTCCCTCCTTTCCATCCCTCCCCCTAATTCCCCCCCCTGCCTTTCACCGCAGGAAATTGCTTCTGCCCTTGCTAAATAAAAACAAGGGAGAAGGAGAAGGAACTACATCACATGCAGCCCAACCAAGCCCATTCCCGTCCTGCGCCTCTGCACATGATTGACAACCCGCCGGAGGAACCGGGAAGACGGGGGACAGTCACTAGGCGTGAAGGCTATCGCTCGGAGATCTCACCTCTCCTTAAAAAAACAAAAAAAGGAGAAAATCCAAGCTGCAACCCTGCCCCGAAACGGTTCATGTGAAAAGATGCACGCTGCAGCGTAGCACTCAATCAGGAGCAGACAGCCACCGCCTGCCCGGCATGACGCCATGGCTCGTTTTTCACTCGGATGCTACTGCAAGCTCCACCGGGCTCCTGGACTTGCAAGGTGATTTGAATATTGAGTACGATACTGCAGTCGGCCCCCGGCGCCCAACACGGCAACGCAACAGCAACCGCCCTTCGCGCTTGCCCGCGGGAAGGGGAGAAAAGAAAGAAGAGCAAGAAATAAAAAGCCGTGAGAACTCAAAAGCACCCGACACTCCCTCGTATATCTTTGGAGGGGACCTGGGCTTCATTGTTTCCAATCTTTCCACCCCTTTTGAGAATACAAGAAGGTGTTTCCCCGCCCCCACCCGCCTTTTTAATATGCATGCTTCTGCTACGGAAATGTAACCCTGGTAGTACATTGTCACGGTGGCAGTGCTGCCGGGACAGTGCAGTCCTCCTCCAGCCATTACCATGCAAATAAAGTTCCTGGGGAGAGTAGTAACTTAGCATATCCCCTGCACGACAGAGCCCAGCCGGGGTCCGTCCGGACAGTGGGACCCCCAATTCTGGGGGCTCCCACGCTCCCACCGAATCCTCCGCTCCCTGATGGGGTGACGGGGTCGTCAGCCTGATGACATCCTAAAATGCAATTTTAAAGCGAAGGCCACTAGAAGCGGCTATGAGTAGGAATCCACAGAGCCTGGCTTCTGGTCAATAGAGTACTGCTGGGTTCGAACCTCCAAGGACAAAATGTAATTATGGATTACTAACGACACGGCAAGCTGGTAACGTCCTGTGACACGTGTCAGGACGCTCTCCGACTGTACGATACATCTGCCTCTTGTCTCTTCTTGCCAGCCATTTTTCTGCCTAATTGCCACCTCTCTGCATCTTGCCCCTTACATGTCCTGTATCCAATATATCATTCGCTGGCAGTGGCAGTATCCTTACTGCCTTAAACCTTCTGCCTCAGTTCCCTGAGCTGCGCCTCTTACTGCAATGAAGAGCGAGTCATCACAAACGCCTTCCTAATTCCACCGCCACTGCTCTGAGCAGCTTTATCTGAACTAAAGTAGGTATAACATAAGCCACCAGGCACTTCCTCATGCTACAGGACTCCTGCATGGGGAAATCAGTAAGACTCAGTCCCTCCAGGGCTAAGGGCCAGCTCCTAAAACATGCTGAGGGCCCTAAAATGCAATGTAGACATAAGGAAAGTGCCTAAGTGCAATGATCCCCAAATAAACTCCTTACCTAAAAGATACCTGAAAGTCCATATGAGCCTAGTGCTTGCCAGCAAGGCTATTTAAGGCATATTTGCACCCGGAGCTGATCACAAAACACATCACACCAAAGGCTGTTTGGAGTTCACAAATGGGGTGCGTCTCTGCACCTAAGTCCTCCAAGAAGCTCATTGCCACGGGCATGCCTACAACATGCCTGAGGCACCCCTGCAGCCACCTTCATTCAAAACCACAGGAAGAGAAGAAGGTCCATGCTCCATCTTGGTTACTGCACTTGCTGGAGGAGTGAAAGACTTGGGCACCAGGCTTTCTTAATAGAAAATGAAATAGCTCTCCCTGGGTTGAGCTGAGATTCCCAGTCTCCTACAGACGTCGAACTGAAGACTGTGGGCAAGAGAGGCAGGATTTCAATTGGCACCATTTGGTCAGCATTTTCTATGGGCTGGCTTAGGGGTCGCCCTATTCAGTAGACTGTGTTCAATGAACCCCAGCTCAGGGTGCCCAAATCTCTCAATTGAAAGCATAAGAAATGGAGGCAACCTAACCTGGTTTCTTGAATTATGCTCCCAAATCCAGGAACAAAACTTTTACACTTGCCATAGCCATGCCTACCACCATTTTGGGTTTCAAGTGCCTGGATCCATTGATAGCTGTTGCTACTTGTATTAGTGAGACACTGCAAGCTCCAATGTGGAACCACTTATCCTGCCAGGGGAAGCTTCTTCATTCAAGCACTGTTAATTTTTATGTTGATATATTTTCTTTTTCCTTTTTTTAATTCTTAAATAGAAATCTTTCCAAAAAAGCATTACAAAAAAAATAAAAACAATTAAAAAAATTGGGGGAGGAAAAATTCCACCAGGACAGATCCAAAGTTACAGGCCAGCAAAGCAAAATGATCCGTGGAGAGCCGTGGTAGTCTACTGTCTGACTTGGAATTGCTTAGGTGAGTTATCGTGCAAACACTTTCATCAAATGAAATTGTTTTTAACCACTGTTAAATTAAAAAAAAAAAAAAATCACAAAAGCTTTGCATGACAAATTGCTGCATCAACAAAGGGGCATTTTTCACTTGTGTGGATGGATATATTTCAGGGACACTCTTAGGGGTATTATAAAAAGAATAAAGAAAGGAGGATAGAAACCATTATTACAATGACCTTAACATCAGGATCTTCTGGACCCCCCTAGATCTCCAGTGAGAGCTGCTGCACCGATCCCATAATTTCTGCTGTCTCCACCTCTGCCACCGCGCTGGACCCCCCAGCTTCTCATCGGAGGGAGATGCATCCATATCAGCGGAAAGGGTTCCTCCTTTCTCTAATCCCTGGCACTCTTCTGCGCTGCTCGAGAGAGCTCACTGCTGCCTGCAGTGCATTGAAATATGTTATCATTAAGCTCAACATGTTATTGAGTTAATTAAATGTCACACTTTTGATAACATTAATTGGAATAATTTCAGACTCATCTAAACCCACACACAGAATGCAAAGCTAACGAAATTAAAAAATGGGTGTTTTTATACGGACAACTTTTGTCCCTGGTGAGACATAACCCATCCTCACCACGATAATATTAGACTATGTGATTTAGAGGAGAAAGCCTCTTTAACCAGTTAGAGACCACACTGGGCAGGACACAGCCACGGGTAGGGCCAACCACGTAGCCCTCAAGCGCGCCAGATGTGGCAGGGACTAGAACCGGACTTTTGGGCCACAGACCTCCGTCCCGCTGACCTTTATTTCTTCTCCCACATCATTAAAGAACATTTCTAGGAGTAATTAAAAAAATGACTCTTCAAAGGGCACCAATGTCCTCAATGTCCCAGGCTTAGTTCCAACCCCATCAATGATATCCCAGTGTACGATCCTTTGCCTTGTTACTCCCTGACAACATATTTGCTGCATGATCAATTTGTTTTTTTTCCAACTAGTTCTCTACTGGATACAGGTCATGGGGCATTCAGTACCAAAAAACGGGTGTCCTTTACAGCACGAGAGAGGTGGTCATCCAATGCCCTAGCAGCCAGTTCTGATGCATTCGCCTCTGACATGAACTCGGGAGCCGATTTGCAAAGGAATAGGGGAAAAAAAATAAAGAAGCAATTGCAAGGATGGATTTTGCAACCAGTCTGGGCAACAAAGATCAATCTCTCCCTCTTGGATTTGGGAAAGAGATTAAAAAAGGAAACAAAAATCAAAACAAAAAACCCCACAAGAAAATCAAAAAGAAGCAACTGCAGCTGCTTCTTCCCTTCCCTGTCTGGAGACTGAATCACGCAGCATACTCACAGCAGTCTCTTTCGTGAGAGTCAATCATCTGCCGTTGCCTCATTGCTATGACACTGTTGGGTTGCCGTGGTTCCCAAGGCAGGTTGCTTTATTGTTCGGTCTTGCAACGCCACGTAATGTGGCCGATGCACGAGGCGTCCCAGAGCATCCATCATTAGATTCGACCTTTGCCAGATTGTGGGGGAGGTGAGGGTTTCTGAAAGATGAGGCTAAGCAAAGGGGAGGGAAAAAATGAGTTAGAAGAAGTAAACTTTATCAGATTACTGAGCAAAACGCTCCGTTTGGTATTTAAATGATAAACTCCAGCCGATCCGAGGGATCAAGACAAAGGAAAGATTCTGGGACTAACAGTTAGACCATTAATCTTAGCCGGAGCAGTTCAAAGACCACAGAGCCGCAATGAGGTTACGAGCCCCGGCACATTTTCATGGTGCGTGTTATGAATGTGAATCAGATGGAAGCACCGAACACAGCGTCCTGATTTCTGCAGATGCTTGACTGTGTTTCTGAATTTGCATTTGAGACTATTATGCCGGAGGTGGGCAAACCGCAACACCATCCACTTGTCTGCATTCAGGTCCCTTTAAGGAGGAACGCCATTCACTCGTCCCTTTGGTAACGATGGCTCCAACCCACCCAGTGAGGTCCAGCGTGCAGATGTGCGTGGGCAACTGGGCCATCAATAAGCATCCCCATGTGCTTTGCCAAGGGTAATTCATCACAGGGACAGCCGTGCTCCCGAGGTAGGGCATTCCTCATCACGTGACATCTTTAAATCAAGATGAGATGTCTTTCTAACAAAGGTATGCTGTAGCTCAAACCAAAGTTATGGGCTTGATGCAGGAACTGTTGGATGCAGCGCTCTGGTCTGTGCTATGTAGGAGGCTGGATTAGATTACCATAATGGCCCTTTCTGCCTTGCAAATAGACAGTTCTTTGACAGCCTTCCAGAGCCCCGGCCATCATCTTCCCTGATCAGCTTCCGAGTCTGGTCTGGACCTGGCTGGTCATTGGAGAGCTCCCTCTCTAACGGGCATTGCAGGGTTAATGGCATTCTGATTTCCTCCTTTCTTTTCCCTCTGGGGGCCAAACGATCCAGATGTTCCTTCTGGAAACCACTGGCGGCCGTACCACCTTCCTCCCCAGTGTTTATAGGCTACTGGAAGAAGACTGGCAGAGTCCAATCACTGTCAAAAACTTGCCAGGCCTTCCCTCTGGCGTTTTGGTAGGTCATCCTAATTTTATACCCCAAGTGCATCCAAGCCGTGTAGGAAATCACTGCTAATGGTGCAAAATGATGGCACAAGAAAATCGGCAGGCATTGCAAACACAGGCTGCTCTTGGCCATTCATTTGCTTAGCTGCACCCCCACCAACACTTAGGCCTGCCATTGCTCACCTAGTTTGTGTGCACAACCACTGAAATGGTACCAGCAAGTCAGGAAATCCTGTCCTAACTGCCTTATTATGGTCATTTGTTCAACTCAGCTATCAGGTTTGCACACCTTTTTTTGTTTTGTTTTTTAAAGTGGACCTTAGCAGAGCAAACTTACTTAAAAGATGGGCCTAGGAGAGAAGGGAGGGAGAATTTTCAGCTTTAAACTCGGCATCCCAAACAATACATACATACATGGATACACCCATATAATATACACATATATGTATGTATGTAAAATAAATGGATCAGGTCTCTTCTCTCCTTAAGCAAAGTATCCAGACACAGATAAATTCAAAGGCAGGTCTTCTGGAAGGGGCTGTCTGAACGCACCCTAGAGCAAATCTGAATGACACAGCAGGGAATACATTAATCACCCAAAGTGAAAAAGAAACATTGGAGTCATAAACAATGAGAGCACGACTAGCAAAAAACAGCAAAGCACCCAGAGGAAAAGAGAGGCCAAGCGTGCCTGCGTAATATGAATTAACCCCTTCAGCACTGCTGGGTCGACTCTACCTCTGGCTAAGAATAGGCTTGGCTTCTACTCAGTCCAACTTACTGACACAATTATTCTGTTAGGGAAAATTGCATCCTGGCTTTGGGCCGGGCTGGCGAGTGGGAAGAAAGCTCTCGGTTCTATTTTAAACCCATGTGTTTGATTACAGTTGATGCTAACAGCTGTCTTGGCAATGCAACTCCAACAGCAGAGAGGAGGCGAGGATTGCTGTCCTGGGGAGAACACTGCGACTTCCCAACCCATCCTGATGTATTCAGCAAGAGAAGGGGAAGCTTCCAGAGATCCTGCTGTGGAAGGATCTGCATCAAACCTCAAATGGCCTCGCAACGATGCTGAGATTCAAAGAGGGATTTCTACACAAACCCTGCGGAAGTTTATACTTCATGTTCAAATAGTTTGTGCGGTGCAGAAGCTGAAAAGCCCCCTTACATCCAGGGCTTAGGGGAGCTGGAATGAGAAGTGGGTAGTGGAAGATCAAGCGTAAGGGGCTTGCCTTCCTTTTTTATGCAACAGGCAATCATTTCTTAGGATGATATCTTTTATTGGACCAAGTGCATAGTTGGGATAGAGTTAGACTTCTTATCCAAGGCACCGAGCAGAAAATTTGCAAGTGTTGGTTACCTTCCAGCTCCTGTAAATTAAGCTGTAACGCTCAGGCTGGGATCTCTGAAGCATACTCGATCCTACAGGGCCCTTCTGGCCTCAAAATATGCTCTGTTTGGCACACATTGTTCCCTAAGACACTCAAGGTATGTCTATACCATGTCCCCCGTGCTCTCGAGCGGGGACTTTTCCAGGCATGGCAACCCATCTGCTGCAGTTCACAAGGGGTTCCCTGGGGTGTCCCCACTCCAGCATGAAGATGACAGGTCTTGAGAGCAGATGTCCCCAGAACAGCTTCACTGCCACACTTCCGGGCTTGATGTGTGAGCAGAAGCAGGGTGCCTCTGGGCGTGCCCCTCCGAAGTGCTGCAGAAGCAGTGTAGATGTCCCCTCTGAGTCTGCTTCTCCATCTCTCTGCAAGCCAATGACAGGAGTGTCCATAATGCTTTTTGTATCAGGGACAAGAGAAAGAGCTATTCTTTGCACAAAGCTTGGCGAACAACGCTACTGGATGTGGTGCCGCTCAGTTGATGGGTCACAGACAAGGCATGCATGGAAAAGGCAAAACTGTTAACATTGAAATGCACCAATTTCCCAATATTTCATAGATTTCATAGACATTAAGGCTGGAAGGGACCTTGGAAGATCATCGAGTGCAGCCCCGATATTCCTATTGCTGCAGGACTTCCGAGCCCTCATCGCAGATCCAGATGCCATTGAACTAGTCTACAAAAACGCAGAACAAAATGTCGTCCCTGCCCCAGACAGCTGACCGTCGAAGTATAAATCAAAACAAGACATCCGGGAGCAGTGTCTTGGATTTCCAGGATTTCCATAGGGTCAGCCTAGCCACGAAGGACTGGCATCACAGACCGATTAGGAGTGAGAGTAAATAAAAGGTCAGTAAATACAATTGCTCTCTACCGCAGCTGAAATCACCTTAGCGTGGAAGGGTGAGCGAATGCCTAATATGTGTTGTGTGAGCCTCCTCTGAACTGAAATGAGTGGATTTAACGCAGCTGTGGGAAGCATAATTGTGGTTTCAGCCCACCTGAGCTTGCAGTCCCCAGGGGTTCAGCCACAGCTCTGTGCAAAATGCCCAGGGCTCATTTGGTGAGGGGTGACAGGACAAATGGAGTGGGAGGGGAGCGGAAATAACAGCAGATAACGTCAAAGTTGTACCCGGCTTCAGAATGAATCTCTACCTGGACCCACATTTGTTCAATGAGAGTATGAGGCTTCCCTGAACGTTCGTGGACCATTCAATCAACCCCAACAACCCTGCCCCTAAGTTAGCTTTCCATTGTGAACACTTCCCCTCGCTCCCGCTCCAATATTTCATTAGGAGAGTAGCTGAGGTTTAATGGAAAGAAGCTCATGAGTATGAAACCACAAAGGGGAAAGACTTCCCCTCCCAGGATAGAAGGAACCGTGTCTAACCGGTTGGCGATAATAGACCAGATGCCGATATCCTTATACATCCAAAACCCCTTGTAAAGTCCACATTACAGGTTGTAGCCGTCTTGGTCTAAGGACACTGGCAGACAAGGGTCTTTGGGTAAATGTGATATATTTTATTCAACCAACTCAAAGAGTTTGGAAAACTCGTCTTAGCAAGCTTTTGGGTATAAACATCCTTAAATAAATCCTCAGCCTGACAAATGGTATTTATACCCAAAAGCTTGCTAAGAATTTTTCCAACTAATTGAGTTGGTCGAATAAAAGGTATCACATTTACCCAAAGACCTTTGTCTGCCTCTTGTAAAGTCCATGGCAGCTGAGGCCTTTCAGTACTTTACAAAGCAAAGCCACGTCGTTAGGAGACCAGCTGAGAAACCCAAGGCTAAAAATATCAATGCATGGGTATTCTGTCCCATCACATCCTTGCAGAGCGGGAAGGGTAAAGCAAACTGCTATTGGCATTCAGAGCTACTGGAAAGCATCGGACAGCACTGGAGAATGATACCCTCGCTACCTCCATGGAGCACGCCCGGGATGAGAAGGGACAAAGCAACCTTCCTCAACATTGCCCCACCAGGCCCTGACTACGGTGCAATCTCCAAGCCTGCACAAAGACCTTGCTGACGCATGTGAACTGGGAGCTCACGCAGGAAATCTGAGTAGCATCATTGGAGTGGATCAAAACCTCCCAATGTGGCTCCAGAAAATCACTCTGAATGCCCCCTTCAGTCCTTAGCCTGTTCTGCAACTGCTGGAAAGCAATACTTTCTAGCCTCCACCCTATCTCAGAAATGTGCTTGCTGTACCACTCCAATGGAAAGTTCCTGGGAGGGGAGGAAAACCGTATCTTTTAATGTTTTCCAATGTTCTGGTTTGTTGTTTCCATTCTCACAGCATATAATTAAAATGATGTCCTTGGTGCTAGAGGATAGTTACAATAAACTGCTTTTGTGGGCACTAAACAACTCGGCTACAGTGCTCAATCAACTGCAGAGGATGTTTATTGTTGTGTATGCTCTGTTGCTGCAAATATGATTCATTAAAAATTCAGGTTTTAACCAAGAGAAAATACAAGCCCAACAAGAGCAAGTTAATGCCTTTGACACGCTATAGGAAATGAAGTCCAAAACGAAAGATTGCTTTTCACACAACAGGAATAGACTTAGGTCAGTCAATATATTGTATCAGTTG